CATCCTGTCCTATTTCTGATACACTGGCCATTCTTATTGTTCTTCTCCAGGTCCCACCCGCTTTCCTGACGATCATCCAATTACTGTTTGCCACTTTGACATTCGTCCCCCCGTCCACAACGGCTACATCTGGAATAAGCTTTATCGACATGTTTGAAGGAACTACTGGTACACCATCATTGGCAACGATTATGGTGGTTGATGTACTGTTTCTCTTAACTTGGGTATTTTTGTATGGTCCTCTGCAGGAGTTCATCTTGCAATTTGCACAATCGGTGATCGCATTGACTTTGGGAGGAGGTCTCAGTGGAAAAGAAGCTGGTATGAGGAACGTAGTTCTCTGCTTTGGTTACATTGGGGTCTCGCATTATGCCTCGATCAGCAACATCAAATCGGTCGGACTTCGTACACTACTTTCATCCCCACGAAACTTTTTAGGGTCATTCGACCTCGACGATCCCCTCGAATCAATGCCAATACCCATAGCGAATTGGAAAGACCGAATACCGATTTGGGTTCGAAATATTCTTGCAGTTCACATTCTCGCACAAGGAGTAGTGCGGTATATACGAGATTTATATGTTAGGAGTCAGAAACGCGATCATGCAGCATCTACCCTGGGGGATCCTGAAGCAGCGAAAGGATCAGTAGATGGAGCCAATGATTCTTCCACTACAAACCCACAAACACCAGATAACGAAGCTATAAATTCATTACATGCTAGTCATACCGCCATTACAACCAGGAAAAAGAGAAAACAAAGCGCACAAGTTCGCATACAGCAACCTTTATGGGCAGCTTTAGCAAGTACAAAAATCGTCATGGTTAAAGAGTATGAGACGTCACACGCAGCTGCGGAATCGGCGGGTACAAATGCAACGGATGCTAGTAACCTTGGAAATGCACCTTTTAGTACCGAGCCAGATCGAATTTGGATTACTCATGTTGGGTCTGATGCTGTTTTATTCAGTACCAGTTATTTTCCCAAATTCACAATTCCCGATGAGAATCCAGATGATACAGAGGGGTCAATTGTGAATTCAAGAATGCCCATTTTTGTTAGGGTGAATCAAGCACATTGGCAACCCACAAGAATGGAAGCTAGTACCAATCACAGCTTACCCGCTGGAAAAAACACGTGCTGGGATGGAGAAATCTTTGGGCTTGCGCCATCTAATAGTTATGAGATTGAATTTTTCAATGTCGTTAACAACAAAGTCATTTTTTGCACCAGCGTCAAAACGCTTAATACACCATCGGATACTGCAACTGCGACTTCCCTTTCACCTCTCCCTCCTCAAGTCTCAGGACGACCAGGATCACCCAGTTCCACTATTCAACAATCAATTCGAGCATCCAAAACTAAACTGGAAGAAGAACGTAGCCGTCAAAAACGTGAACGTAAAGATCAACGCACAAAAATCCAGACACTTCGAAGAGAAATTGATAAGCTCACACACATCATAGCCACATCAGGTGGCAATGATGAAAAACAACGTCAAAAAATTCAACAAGCCACCCTTCAGATTAGACAAGCAGAAGAGGCCATTGCTTCCATTGAAGCTGATATTGAAATCGCCGATCGATTACCTTCAGCATCAAAGGATTCCGAGTATATTGCAGCAAAGCAAAAGTATCGAACACAAAAAGACCTCTACGAGAAAGCCAAATCAGACTTCATCACGAAAAAGAAGGAGAATGAAAAGCCAATCGCAGCGTTGAGTGCCGAACTTCTCAACAAAGAACGTCAATCCGAGAAATTGGAAGCCAGATCTATTAAACTTACTCATCAAGCAGATGATCTCCGTGAAGCTAACACCAAAGGGTTGGATGAAGTTCAACGTAAGGAAAAGCAACGGAAGGATAAAGATGATGAAAGGAAGATGGTTCAGGCTAACTGGGATAAGTATAACGTGGAGGCGCAAATGCAACTTCAACGATATACCGATGATCTGACCATGCTTTACCCTTACATCGATCAATACACTCTGGCTTTACAACAGCAGCATCAACAAGAAACGAATCAATTATACGCCAATTCCCCATGGACAACCGCAGGTGAAAGTTCAATGTCCGCATTTCCCGCATACGCTTCAATCTCGAATATGGCACCGGCTATGCCTCAAATGGGTGGCTTAATGACAATGTCACAAACCACAAGGCAAAGAGGTAGAAGCTCGAGTATGTTAAGTAACGAGAGTGGGTTTACCCAAGGTCCGGATTCAGATGAAGAACACACTCCTTTTTATGGACCACATCTTCAATCACAAACCCAACTTCATTATTCTCCATACAATACCAATCAATCACCAAGTCCATTCGCTCCCGCGTTCCGAAATACATCAACATCGATTTCTCAATTCCAACAAAATGAATCGTTGAATTGGCCACCAACTCGTAAGGGTAGTGGATCAGGTGATGTAGATGCATCGGGGAGCAGAAGTGGAAGTGAGAGAGATAGTATTGGGGATCCAAAAAGTCCACTGAATGAAAAGAGTCAGTTGCCGTTGCCTATTGGAGCGGGATCAAGCTTTGGAATTGGAGGTGCGGGATCCAGAGGTTTGAGAGGGGTTTGGGATAATTGATTTGATTGATGCCGGTGGAATTTTACGCTGTGCTGGTGTTGTGTTCTAGTTGAGGAAAGCAAGGTGGATTGGGTTGGAATGGACAGCTCGGAGATGATATCGATGGGCTGGCTGACTAATTTGATGATTATGCGGATTGGCTAGAATCTCCATTGGTGTTAGTGGCGGTAGTTGGGCTAACTGGTCAAAACTGGTGGGGTTAGAAGCGATATTGGCATAGCAGTAAAATTGAAGCTTGCAAGTTTGTTTTCTCTTTACTTTTCATTTGACTTGTATGATGATGATGTGTGAATTCACGTGTAGTTTACTGTGATGTGATGTGTGATGTGATGATGCAATGGAACATGTGATACAATGTATTGTGTACTTGCACGTGCAAGAAAGATAGCATCGGAGCTCAATTGTACCTAGGTAGGTAGGTAGGTAGGTAGGTATATATAGTAGATCTTTAAGAGGAAAGTGGGGGAGGGGTAATCAAGAGGGAAGGGGCATTTCTCGAATAATTCCTCGCTTGGTTAGTTGGTTGGTTGATTGCTTAGTTTGTCTTTTTGGTTTGATTTTTTGGTTCGGGATGGTTCGGGATGGTTTAGAAGGGGAAAGGGGAAAGGGAAAAGGGAAAAGGGAAAAGGGGAAAAGGGAAAAGGGAAAAGGGAAAGGGAAAAGGGAAAAGGGAAAAGGGAAAAGGGAAGAAAAGGGAAAAGGGAAAAGGGAAAAGGGGAAAAGGGAAAAGGGAAAAGGGATGGAGGGAGAGAGGTAGGAGTAGAGGGAGGGGAGAGGGAAAAAGGAGGTATGTAAGCCGAGATAAAATGAGATGGAAAATTAAATGAAATTTTTAGTATATACGAGTGTTTGAGTATATACGCAGTGTCTGGGTGGAGGGAATAGAGTATTGTATGATATGATATGGTATGAGCTGATATGATATGATATGATATAGTACAGTGTGTTGTGTATTCTATGATGTACTATATGCGAATTTTTTCTACGGAATTTTCGAGGAAATCTTGAAGGGGTTTTAATTTTTTTTTGGGAGGGGGGGGGGGTTTGGAGGGGATTGAAGGTTGCTGAAGGATATGTAGATGGAGGGTTGGTTATGTAGGTAGGTATGTGAGTAGATAGATTTTGATACTTTGAACTATTTAAGGGGGGTGATGGGGATGGGGATGGAATGGTGAGTGAGTGAGTGAGTGGGTAGTCAGCTAGGTTTGAAGAAGATTCTTCTTCTATTTCTTCTGTTTCTTCTGTTTCTTCTGTTTCTTCTGTTTCTTCTATTTCTTCTATTTCTCGCGAAATGATTATATTTGATTATAGTTATGGTCCATTCCTTAAATAACCGGATGTTTTTTATTAGGCATATGGGATACTGTAAGATGAGGAGAGATGAGTTAAGTGAGTGGATAGATGAGAGTACGTGGATGGGGATGAGATTACACAGATGAACACAAGTTATCATCAAAATGATTGATCGTTGACATGAGCTGTCATTTCTTTTCCTCAGTGAAATTCAATATCATCATGATGTAATGTCAGATGTTATGTGATAGTGCGACAAGAAGGTTGGGGGAAATGAGCTCTTGGGCTCGATAGCCGTTAGATAGCGGGGTAGCTGTGTGGTTATATAGCTCTGCTGGTGTGTAGACAGCGGGTAGATTGTATATGAGTAGGTATGGGATTTGTAGTTTTGGAGCATTGACTTTGTGTGTTATGATGTGATTTGATGTTTATCTCGTGGATGGGCATTTTATTGTTATATAAATTGATGAATAGGTATGTCTAGCTGTGATGATGATTTTGATTGGATGGTTGATGGTTGATGATGGGATCTCTGATGGTGGGAGTGCCTATCTGAAGAGTGTGTATGTAGTTCTCATTTGAAACTCGAGAGTATGGGTGGGAGATTTGAATGGGATGTTATTTAGGTAGGCTTTGTGATTCCTGTGTGTGCAAAGTATAAATTGAAGTTTGATAGAGGGTGGGCGTGGTGTTGGAAGGAGATGTTTGAATTGAAGTATGTATATGATTTTGGAGGATCTAAGTTATGCTTCTATTCACCTAATTTGAGTCACGCATATCTTCTTCTAGAAATATTTTTGGTTTGGAAAGCAGCGAATTTATAAAGAGAAAGAGACGAGAAGAAATATGAAACTGTTATACCCTTAGCCCTTAATCCTTAGACGTTGACCCCTTGAACATTAAACCATTAAACCATTAAACCATTAAACCATGAAACCATCTTAAAGAAAATAAGAAATGCGTCGAGATTGACGACGAGAAAAATATGATGTTAAGAACCGAGATTGTGTAGTCGTGTATTTATGCGAAGATGAAGACTTAGGTGTAGAATGAGGATGAGGGTGGGAATGACGTGCGTGTTGAGAGAGAGATTACCCCAGAGCTAGCTCTCACTCGTTAGACCTATCTTCGAACCGTTGACGTTGTCTCTAGTTGAAGAGAAGGAGTAAGACATCTATCTTTTACTCCAGGTCTGAAAGCACCATCGTGTGAATCAAATTCTGGGGTTTGTAAATGAAAACCGGAAGCATTAGGGTCTGTCCAAGACAAACCTCCAGAGGACTCATCATCTTTCGTAAAACCTCGTTCCTTGACTCCATTTCTGAACTGTAGCTCCCGTAACTTTTCTTCTTGCTCCCTACAAGCTTCGAGCCTCTCAGCTTCTTCTTTTCGCTGAAAAAAATCCCTGTACTGAGCTGCCACACTTTCACTTTTTTGAAGGTTTAATTCATGTTTTTGGACCTTTTCCCGCCACTGAGCAGTATCGCTCCCAGCAGCACGACGAAGACGCGAGGTAGATTCATGCAAATCCTTGAGACCTACCTCGCCAAATTGACCTTTCAAGACGTCCTCTGAAAGCCAGGGGGGCCTTTCAATCCATTCACACTTTTGCAACTGTATCATCTTTTTTGTAGCATGCCGTCGGATTATTCCAAAAGTGAATTCTTTCTTATTCTCGTCGAAGGGATTGAACTTGTTAAAGGCGTCTAAGAAGTCTGTAATCCCTTCATATACATGTGTCTTAATAAAAACAATATTCCATTTTTTGCATCGTTGCTGTTCATTACACCATACGCCACCAGCAACCCAGTCGAATAGGGCATCAGCCTTAGGGCTCCAATGTGGGTAAGGCATAGTGAACAGTCAGGAGACGTCTTTTTGGTCTTAATGCAGTGAAGAAAGTACCGAAGTGTAAATCGTGTCGAATCCGGGTTCTAAGTGTTGCGTAAATAGTATCAAATGCCAGATATTGTTATGTATGTAGAATGTGTATATAGAATGTGTATCCCGAGTGTGTACATCGAATTTAACAAAAGGAAAAGAAAGCAGAATGGAAATTTAAACCTATTTGAGCACATTTGCTGGGGCATAATGACTTTCTGGAACATTCATTTGCAAGATCATATTCGCGATCTTTCTGAGTATTTCGTATGAGTGTTCGTTGAGTTTTCGGTCGAATGTATGAGTATGAACTGAAATTGTGGTAAATATATGAATATACCTCAGTTAATGACGACATATATGAGTGTGCAAGAACCTGTTGACGAGAGGTATGAGTGTCGACTAAAACACTGATAAATTGTATGAATAAAACTCAAATTGTTGATGATTTGTATGACTGTCTACCAAAGTGTTGGTAAGAGGCTTGAGTATCCACTGGAACACCGATAAACTGTGTAAGATATCATCAAACCGTTGATAAAATAAATGAGTGTGTGTAGAGTTAATAACAAAATATAAAATTTCCCCCAAGCGCTCTTGATATTTGTGGGTGTACACCAAATCACTAATTACACTTATGACATTGTATTGGATCACCATCGGTCTCTTCGAAATCCTCTCGGTAAGGATTAACTCGGAAAGATTGATGTTAACTCACCACCACTTCTCACATAAAACTCTCAAGGGATCTATACCAGGAAGATTTCGAACATAAGAAACCATGGAATCAGTCATTGTGGGCGGTCCACAAATATAAACTATCGTTTGTGATTTCTCCGCCATTGTTCCTAGCGCAAGATCGATGTCGAGGTTTGACATTCTTCGATGATGGGATTCCATGTTTGACTTTGCGTTTGTCTTCAAAAGCTTGATAGTATCGTGGGAGGAGCCGGTGGCAAAAAGCTGAAGATCCCATTCCTCCCTCTTTTTAAAAATTTCCTGCAAACGATCGAGAAACAAAATCGCTTCTTCCGTGTCTCCTTCTTTTCGCTCGTTTTCTGCTGGAATTGAAACCGGTACCTTGGTACTGTAGAGAAATTTAACTTCAAGATTGTCGCAACTCTCTTCCTCGACATTTCCTTCGATTTCATCATCTACTTCTTTTCCTTCCACCTTCTTCCCTTCTCCTCTCCTTTCATTATCTCCCAGTTCTGCATGAATACAAGAGATCATACTCATCAAAGGATTGATGCCCATTCCACCCGCTATAAAAACCACCCTATTTCCATTTTCTACCCTCTTCTTTTGACAGCCTTCGCTCTCCTTCTTAACGGACAAACAAGGAGGCCAGGTAAATGACCCTCCAATTCTAACGGCCACTTCTTTTCCAAGAATTTCTGATGAAGGCTGGAACAACCAGGCTACCTGCTCACTTATTTTGCCCCCAGAATTTAATTTCAAAATGGGCTTCTGAATTGCTAACTCGATACCTCTTTTTTTCTCCTCTTTCAAGTCATCAATTGAAGGAGAGAATTGAGAAATAGGACTATTTACAATGCTAAAACCACCAGGTCTCTGTATTCCAGGGAGAAAGAGATCGACCCATTGTCCAGGTTTCCAGGTGAGGTGTTTGGGTGAGGAGTTAGATGCGAGGTGAAGAGGTGAAAGATAAAATAGACGAGTGGTGGAGTTTATACTTGTCACTTGTGTGAGAATGAAGTTATGAAGGGACTAGAGGGATGATTAATCGACTATTAAAACTGTTCTGTCTGTTTGTGGAAGGGGGGGGGGGGGGGGGCGACAATATTTAATGAGAACAGCTTGAAGAGAATAAAGATAATCTGGAACATATGGAAAGTTATATACTTACTTCGTCCCTTGGTTCTGTCGCCGTCCGTTCTATGTGGCTAAGATATTGCTTTGTGTCTTTTTCATCTTTTCCCCAACCATCTGTTGTTATTCGCTCTTTTGCCATCCCTTCTCGATTAATGTCCTCTCCCATCTTTTCTTTCTCCTTCAACTGAGAACCAAGGCTGTTCTCTCCCAGACTCGTGACCCTGGACCGCGAAGCAACACCCCGAAGGAAATCCAGTCCAATGTTCAGTCGCGGCTGTACTATGGATTCTGATAACCTTGTCGATATTCTTCGTGCGCGCCGGAATAGATGATAACGAACAATTGGATTCATTTATTCGAAAAGATCACTAGAGGCTCGGAAGAATTCAAGATTGTACAATGGTAACGGCTGTGACAGTGGGGAAGCATGATGAGATGAAGTCGAGGTAAGGTACATGGCTTAGTAAGCATATCAGATTCTGGAGTCATCGATACAACTATGTAATATGATTACAAGACGTATGTTCTGCATTTCATTTTGCTTAAAACAGTCACATGTGCTTTGCTTCTTTTTGAAGATTTCTCAACCTAATGCGTACCAAAAGATGTGATTTATAACGACGATATCAATATCAAGAACTTGTTCGACAATTGTGGCTGAATTAACCTTCAGGCCTAGGTAACCTTGGAAGGTTAACTTGCTTGTGGCTAACCTTAACCTTAATCTCAACCTCAACCTCAACCTCAACTTCAACCTCAACCTCTCTACCTCCTCTTTCTAATCGACTGTAAAACGCATGAAATCATTTATTAATACTCCCGTTGATAGCATACACTCAGCATTTCGCAACGACAGAGGAAAATTCTTAAACACCTGCCTCAATAGGTTTCGTTGTCGTTGGTTGCGGATTGTCTAGGTTTTACACACTGAGGTTCAAATACAAGATTATTTTATATCATTCCAGTGATGAATCTGATACTGGCATGAAGTTGAGAGTCTCGGAAGATAAGAAGGGGAAGGTAGAGCTAGAAAAGGGAGGTGGATGCGTTCAAGAGGATCTGTTTTGGGGTTTCTGATAATGGAAGAGGAGTCAAGAATGTAGGTTTAGTAAATGAGGGAAGAGTAGTCGATATGGAGGTTTATTATTGGGAACTGGCGACATTAAGAGGAGTAGAAACTTCGGTCTGGTCAATATCTCGAAGGTGAATTAGGGAGAGGAAGCTTTCGATGGGCTCTGATCATACTTAAAAGGATCTTTTTCCTGAATCAAAGGAATGAACTTTATAGAGTGATGTACTGATACAATGCAAATCGGAACTTATACATGTTCTAGTTTCCAGCTTGATCTTCGAATGTCGCACCTCTATCAAATGAGAATACAATAAATCAGATTAAACAATGTCTGTGCAATCACACCCCTTTTGAAAAAAAGCATAAGGCGTACGAATCATATCCCCCTGATAGTGAGTGAAACAACGTTTGTGCATCTCTTAATCTGATCTAATGATTGTTTTCCGCTTATTATTGCATTCCGGCTAGTCGGTATCAATTGAATCATAGGATTTGACATTGGCTTTTGTTTTTCTTCTAGAAGCAAGTGTTAATCCAATCAATATATTCTCAATATTCTGAAAAAGAAATAGTGATTTCGAGGGCAGATGCTGAAAAATGGTACATCAGACAGCATTCAAAATGATTCGCGACGAGAGTTGTCTTCCTCATGGTCCATCAATATCAAAAAGTAGTGAATCACTCTCAAATCTCAATTCATTCGTTTGTTCATGTCAATATTAACATTACGGCACATTCATAACCCCGACCCAACGTCAAAACCCTTATAAACAACCACAGTGTCAGGAATCTTCCCCCGACCATCGGTGTTAGAATCAACTTCTCCATCAGACCAAAAATACAAAACAACACCAGAGACCACAAAATGACATACGCCGCCAAAGTCATAGCAATCCCCGAACTCCTCGAACAGATCCTCTTCCACGTTCCTCTCCCCGATCTCATGATCCGCATCCAGAGCGTGAACAGGTACTTCTACATCATGATAACCACCTCTCCTCTCCTCCAACATAAGTTGTTCTACTCCTCAACCCGCAACCCGTTTTTATACAATCATTCCAATACCATCATCCCCAATCCTCTCTTCTACCCTTCATTTCACGCCTACGTCTCTTCTTCTCGAAAAGTATGGATCACGTCTCCGGAGCTCCGACCATTAGAGCTTGCTGAATTGGGTGTTGGAAGAAGGGGTATGCTACGAAGGGGATTCAGGTGGTCAGATGCGAGCTGGAAAAATATGTTAGTGAGTGTACCACCGGTCAAGGAATTAACGATCCATTCAAAGGTTGGACAATGGGTCTTAAGAAGCGAGACTGGAGTTCGGATGGGGATGTTGGATTGGGAATTGCTTAGGGATGTGTGGGGGAGTCTGGATGTGCAAGGAGAGGTGGGCGTTTTGAGATGTGGAGATGCGGAGAGGTAAAGGCAGGCGCTTTGAGGGCTTTCAGGGGGTAGGGGGTTACGTACTGTCCTGGAAGGAACGTTCTTGAAAGGCCCGTTTGATATTCACGTGCTTTGGGAAAGGGAAATGGTCAAGTTGTTAATGGAGCGATGTGAAAGAGCAAGTCTTCAGTGAGATAAATATGTTTTTGGACTTAATGAGATAATGTAGTACGATGCCTTGAAAAAGAAAGTTCGATAAGTAATACTTGCACTCGATATACAATCAATGCGAACATAGTATTGTCTGCTGGCAGGTGACAATTGACAGCTGACATAAAGTGACGGGTATGAAAGGAATCATGATGCTTTTCCGGATTCCGAGAAAGATTAATGATTCATGTAAGATAGTGTGACATTGACAATCCATATTTGTTCGTGAACAACTTGTTAAGACTGTCACCACCAATAACATACACTGTCCAATGATATGCCGTTGTGAGACCTTGTTTCTCGTAGTATCAGGTGATAGCTTGCATGATATTTTCTTTTGTGAACACCACCTCGGCGCCTCCCGTTGGTGTACCACCTCAACTTAAGTAACACCACATCGGGCATACCGATATCAATTCGTTTTTAGGAAACATAAAACAAAGATTGTTATAAAAAAAATGCAACTAAAAAGATAATACCGAGGTCAAAGAATAAACCGAGAATTATGTTTCAGTCCGTATGTTCCACTGCTACGTTACCATTCTATTATTAAACTCTCGATCTGCATGATGTAGGTATCTTACATACTCTAGCATCCAGAGAGAGAGAGAGTAGTTTCCCCACGGATTCACATAAAGTACAGAGTCGTTGTGGCTTCCTTCGAAGAGCTTGGGTCGTTTCTTACACAGAGCTCGTATTCTGGGGTTCGTATTTGAAGAAAGGACGATGGCTTGGCGCTGCATATGTAATCGAATACGATGGATCGTGCTTGCCGTACTGTAACATCATAACGACCTCGGAGGTTCTTTCTTTTTCTTGCCTTGAGTGTGATTGTTTTGTGTATTTAATCCAAGGTCGTCCGTTCGATGAAAGCACTTCAATCATCATTGTTTCATCAACTTATCATCATCCACTTCATATCAACATCTCATCAATTCTCAACCAATATGCACTTCTCAAAACTTCTTGTCTTCTCCGCTGGAGCCATTACTGCAGGTCTGGCGGATCCGTTCATGGTTCCTACTCCATGGTATGTCCAAAAGATCAGTATTGGAAACATTAGACACGGTACCGGCGGCTTGTAAGTTCTTTTCCCCAGGGCCTCCACCCTCATATGCTAACCTGAGAAAATAGTTGGTCATTCAACTTGATTGACACACCCACTCCAGCTCCTCAAGGTCTCAATGTAACGTGCAGTTATAATAGTCCAACTACTTATATATTCGCACTCGATGGTGCTCCAGTCGATGCACCCTGCAGTGGTGATCCCAATGTAACTTTCAGTCTATATCCTGATGGCGATCATTTTACATTCAATATCACGCATTTGTATGGAAATTGCGGGACGTAAGTGTTGGCCTGGTCTTTAAACTGCTGAGCCGTAGACTAACAATTTCTTGCAGTGAGGATAGCCCAACTCCAGTGAGCAAACACATTTTCCCCCACATAATGGCTGAGAAACTATCACTGACTTTTGACTTTTTAGTGCAACGACAATGGAACTTGGAAGTTCAGCCGGGATGATGTGAGAGGACAGGAATCTGATGTTCAGAATAACTTTGGACAATCTGGAAGTTTCACCAGGGACTCGATTTCAATGTATCCAATTCGGGCGATACCCAGCTATAAATGCGAATTCTGTTGATATTGTTTAGGACAGGATTACCAAGGGCAATGAAATGCCTAGTGCATCAAGGAAGTAAGTAAAATAGAAGGATTGCATCGGGTTTAAAAATGGAGTATCTTAGCATTGGCGAAGAAAAATAGGAATTAATAGAACTTATAACCAACAATCAAGCTGCTCTCTTCCATTTGAGTGCTTTGAGATGTGAGTAGCCGGAACACCTTGTTCAGAAGGTATACTCTACTAGCGATGAAGAGTTGAATCAAACAGAGCCCAGAGCCCGATACCACTGAGATAGTAGTATATTGACATTAGATTCTAGTGATGGCATATAACAACACACTGTGTTAAAAAATGGCTTCGTCATATCGATTATGCCTATCCACCGCCAAACTAAACAAAAGCTTCTTGAAAACCCGCAGCCCAACTTAGCTTGTGAAATGATGGTGAGATGGCGTTCTCATAACCAAAATCAGTCGAATACTACGACACATCCATATCGAATTGATCATGATACCCATTCGAAACTCCACCACAACCATCACAAGGGAGAGATATTCCATATGAACACTTTCCGCAATCCTTGCAGTGCCAGTCTCTCCAGTCGTTACATTCATCACAAACGGAACAATGGACAGTATTGGTAAATTCCTCCCATCCACCAGAGCAGAAGGAGAAATAATACCCACCGTCCTCAACAAATGCTTTTTTGAACAACTTTGTCCGAATGGGTTTTCTCTCTGCTTCAGTTCTTGCCTTGAGCCACTCTTCACCGAGCTGTTGTATTTCTGGATCAGAACCATCGTGGAATACTGTTCCTTGAGGCGCATCGTAATATTTCTTTTCATCGACTCCCATAATGTTACTTCGTAATTCTTCTTGTGTAAATGCAGAATCGAGATCCAGATCAGGCCCTTGTGCTTTCATCCAACTCGCAAAACAATTTGTAGCGCGAAGTCTAGATTCTCCGAAGAAGTGGGCGAATTTGTTTAGATAATTGGCACACGAGGCACATTTGCAGTTTGGACCACAACTAAAAGAATTCTTGGAGCATTCGCATCTACCATTTTTGCAACCAGTCTTACATGAACAGGAGAATGATTCGGAGATACCGCGTTGTTTGAGCTGTGAAAATATTAGCAGGTTCTCAGATGTTACGGAAAGAGTCGCATCCTCACTTCTGTCACCCTTCTGTTTTTCTTCGAATCTTCGTGTTCCGAGCCTGAACACTCATCATCACTCTCCTCCCGATTGTTATAATCGCCAACAGCGCGGTCCGCTTCGGAAATAGAGATGGGGTCCGGTTCCAAGTCTGATTCAGACGGAGTTTTTGCCAGAAGTCCCATCTTCTCATGCTCTAAATCTACCACATGAGCTATCTCGGGATGAGAAACATATGCTTGAACGAGAATGGTACGAAGCTGCGATTCGTTTAGATCGTGAACCAGCTTGTTTGCTCTGAATAAGGCAGCCATAGATGCTTGTGGATTTAATTCCATGTCGTTGGCGGTCCTAGCAATTTCAGTAGATCCTTCTATTAATGGTACTTCTTCCTCTGCCTTTCTTTTTTCAAGTGAAGCCATTTGAAATGTAATCCTAGCAGATGTATAGCAAAGTTCTTCGACGCAGGAGAATTATCACGAAGATTGTAGACGATTTTCAAGTACTTTCTAGAGAAGACGCGTCTCGCATTTGTGAGGACACGCGAAAGCACGAGGATTTCCCGGTGCACAAAATCGTGATGACTAAGCGTGACCTTACCCCTCCCTCTCGAAAGCGAAAAGGGGGGGTTCCTTATTTATCGTCCTCGCATCGATTAAAGAGCCTTCGAAGCGATATTCTTGACGTTATTATCCACGGATGTGTATGATCTTAAAGGTAAATTCGAGACTTGCTCATTTGTCAACGAGTAGCTCTCCTGTTGATTTTGGTGAGACGATAGGAAAGGCAGGGTAGAAAATGCTTCCAGTTTCTGATCTATCACATTCCTATCCTTCGTCTCACGCGTTCACGCGAGACGCGTTAAGTAACTACTTTTCTTATGCCACGAATATATCAGTATCTCCTTTCAATCTCTTCTGTCTTCTATAATCGTTATTATCCCTATTGTATGTTGTTCCCATTGCATATCAAATCTTTACAGTTGTGGACATGGTATCCAGTCGATCAAAGGCCGGTGCACCTCGGCCTCCCAAGAGACGACAGGCTCGGTTCACTACAACCAGTGCCAAAACTCTTCAAGATTTGTTGCGGAACTTCAAGCCTTCGCAATTACGGACAGTTATTGACGAGGCATTGAATAACGGCAATGTTACCAAATTCATACGCGATATTCATGCTCGATTGTCACGAGAACTACCGATTGAAGACCATTGCCAGCCATTAGTTGCCGGCGGAGTGCCAATTAATGATGAAGTCGTTGAGAGTATCGAGAAATCCCCAGTCAAATTGAGGCAGTGTGCTCTTGTCTCAGCACCAGAGGACCTGTCTGTGACTGCCACTAATGGCAACCTACCCACTCCGAGAAGTTCTCGGGAACCCAAGGAGGTACGATGACCTGTCTTCAATCCCACGAGGGATCCTCAACTGACAACATCTTACTAGATACCAATGACTCCAGAGCCTTGGATGACCCCCGAGCCACAATCCAACGCTCAACCATCTCCTCTTCCAGAAGCCGAACAATATATTCCTCCACCAGTTCGATTTACAACCTGTAATTGCCGGTCTGGATGCATTTCCACCCGCTGCAAATGTTTCAAATTCGGACGAGGCTGCTCGCCCTCTCTTTCCTCTAGTTGTAAATGCGAATCTTGCGCCAATATGCTCAATGACCTATCTGTCTTTTTCGGATCCCCAAAATCCTCCGGTTCCCCTGTTGCAGCTAGTCCCGACTTTCTCAAATGGATTCGAAAAGAGTCGAGAAATGGAAGATTCGATTTGATCCATCAGGATACAATAGAAGAATTAAGAAGCATGTTGATGGGAGTGGAATATGGTGACATGTCATCTCCACCCCAATTTCCCGCTTTTTCAGGAAAACTCAGAGGCATCGGAAAAGCATAGATGAGGTCTGATATCACGGACGAAGAGAGAGAAGATGTGAAGAAAGAGTTATTTAAAGAAGCTTTCGGAGTTGCAGGACCAAAAGATACGAAGAATGATTATTGGTGTTTCTGCAAGGATGAATGGAAACAGACTATTTTGTGGGAATATTGTACGAAATGTGATGAGTGTAGAGATACGAGGGAGCGGCATTGTGAGGAATGTGGAAATAGAAATATTGGGAAGTGGTGTGAGTGTCAAAAGGGTGCTAAACGAAAGAGATTACATCAAGGAGCTACTTGCGCCGTTGTTATTCCTCAATGATGCGTGGAATTTTGTTGTAGGACGGGAACGTAGCCTTAGGAAAGTAGAAGATTAGAAAAGGAAGGGTGTGCATTAATACAGCTAGAATCTGGAACTAAACGCCTTTGATGATCTGGAGAATTTGCTTGTTGCTCTGTTGTTGAGACTCAGAGTCGGTGGTAAATAGACTGTTTATGGGTATCTCAAGGATATAGAAGCTCAGGTGTTTGGTACTGATAGAGAGGTAATTACACCAGAAGTGTATCATTATTATTTAGCTCTTAAATGAACATAATCTTCGTTTATATCCCTTGTTTGCCGTGAGCTCGTCTATCCGGATCCTCTCCCTCCCCACGAAACAAAGATTCTTAAAGCTATATGCATGTCGAATATTCCATCCACTTTCGCAGTGCCTGAACTTCCATAGACAAAATCAAATATCATGAGTCACAGTTCTGTAAACTTAGAAGCGTGCTCTTCACCTGGTTGACATTTTGATTGAGAGGCACATCGTCAGTAGGCGTCTCTTCATCGACAAAAGTACTACGCATATGCCCCTTCATATTTCGTCGACCTCCTTGCTCTTTCTTTCCTACATTGCACTTTTCTTACTAGACCACCGCATTCATTGCAAACGAATGTGAACTTCAACTAAACAAAACTCAAACGTCTTTAAACCTCATACCATATACCATATCGTCTTCCGGGAACAAAAGAATCCGTCAAAACTCTATTGCCAGGAAACACCAATTCGGTTGTGGGTTGTCGCTACTATTCAATTCAACATTTATATAGACCTTTTGCATATCAATTAAGTCAGTTGTTGAAAGTGTTAGGTAAAGTCTGACCATCGAGGCTTGGAGGTTTGTATAATGTTTACACGCAGGTATGAATTACCGCTCATCCCCCCCCCCAGAGAAGATCATTCTTCCAACCGAATCACAATCTACATTGCGAGATCAAAGATTTGAAAGTTCCATCTTCGATAGCTTTGACGATTTAGAGTGTTTGTCGCGTGCTTTATGAACCTTAAAACGTCGCTATGGAGAGAAGATGGGAGAAAGAACCGCCCGCTAGGTCGAGCTGGCCTGGTTCAATTCCAATCCGATATTATTTGTTGGCTGCCACATCATAATGAAATATAAGAGCCATTCACTGACCAGGTAAGACACAAAGACCTTTCGTTTATCGTCGTTGCCGTTGATAGCAAAGCATTTCCGTTGTCGAAAACTGGATCAATCAATCCGAGCACCGAGCATGAGACCCCACAGCCCGAACCTTTCCCGGAACTATTTTGATTTGCGGAAAACATTGATATACTTAAAGAAGCTCACGCTGTCCAACAACAACAAAGAAAAGTCTTCGTGGCTCAGTTGGTTAGAGCGTTGGTCTCATATTCCTATATGAGGTGGTTGTCAACAACCACTTTAGCCATCCAAAGGTCGAGAGTTCGAGTCTCTCCGAGGACAGTTCATTTTTGCTTGTGAGCACCATTTTACCTGCTTTTCGGAGAATTGAAATAAATGAATCTTGTTTGTGAGCTCACTCACTCACACAATCTGTTTTGTTGGCTGCGTTTAGGGTTGGATATATTTTCGATTGGTGCTGAGGAAAAAAATTTGAACACAATTTTTGGGGGCGTTTGTTTGCCTCCCTTATTTTCCATCTTTTGACATCCTCGTTCGTCAGTCAAGAAGACTCTTGCAACAACATCAATCACATCACTCACACCCGTCACTCACTCCAATGACGGCAGACAGAACAAATACACCTAAACAAATGCCGTGATCAATAATAGTTGGGTAGGTAAGTCATGTCTACCAGTCTACAGGTTTCAACCTTATAGACACAGCCCCAAAGTTCACGCACAGCATGAATACCATACATACCTACTTATTACTCTACCTTGATATTGCGAGTTTGAGATTAATTCCAAAATCTGGGTCACAATAAAGATTGGTGAATCGTGAATTTTTATTTTTTTTCGTTTGTGTCAGAAGGGGAGATCCTACAGTTTAAGCGTCAGGGTTGCGACGATAGTTGTGATGAACGAAAATGTACGAGCACGGCATGGTAGGTTTGTCATAAAGTAACGGTAAGGTTAGGGAAGAAAGAGGATCAATGAACACATCCCAAATGCTTGATTGGGGATATGAATTCTTATTTTCCGGTGGGTGTTTAGATTCGACATTGATAGTCAGTCATATCTAGTTACTCTAGCTAGCATTGATTCAAAGAGAATGATGATGATGGTGATGATGATGATGAATTTCATTTACCCCTATTTTTTTTATTTTGAGTGGTGAGCACTGAGAACACGAAAAAGCCTTTCTTTCGTCAATCGGTAACATCGTGTAACGGGTTTGATATTACGATAATCTATCTGCTTACTGTACATCGTAAAGTACGATGTAGCTAGCATCTCAACCAAAAAGTACAGAGTGGGTTATGGATGTCGCTGGTGGTGCCAGTGGGTTTCTTAATTAGAGATGAAACGTCTCCCCCGCGGGTCGGAAATGGATGAAATGATTGGATTGAGAAAGAGAATGGGAAAGGGCAAGGGCAAGGGCAAGGGAGAGAGGGAACCAGGAATCAGGAATCAGGAATCAGGAGAAGTTGTGTTGGGAAAGGGAAAGATCGAATCAAGATCGGCTTGCTATAAATATCTGAATACGGTCTGATTTGTGAGGTGTCAAGTTTAGATGTTCCATATCTTCTGATTCACTTGTGATGTAGTGTATTGAATCTCTGAGGCTTAGAGTTTAGTACATCGTAGTATATATAGTATATACATATCAAACACGAAGCTCATTTGTGGAAAGGACGAGCGCGAGCAGACTATCAGGGACACTCCAGAGTCCCGATGGATAGAATAGGACCTTTCTAGGCGTTTGGCCTTGGAGTTTGAGGTTAGATTGTACCTCTTGAGCTGCGCCCCTTTCTCGTCTGAATGTTTGCCGCGTAACGCTTTCAGAAGGGGTAGTTGGTAGACCGAATTTGGGTGGTGATCATGAGACCAGTAATGAACTGAATTTATAAGGGATTTCGTATTAGGTAGTATTCCAAGCAAAATCCATTGATTTTTTCTCGTTCTAGTCAATACGAGAAGATATGGATGCTAAAAGTATTGAACCTATTTATGGAAAAGAAATGTAATGATCTGTTAAGTGGAACCTTAAAAGGAAAACACAGTACTACGAATAAGATATTAAGGGTTGAGCGATTTATAATTATAATTATTATAGTTAAGTATAATAATATTCATCACCTCATCATAACATGTAATATTAATCAAGTTCAAATAAAAATAAAAATAGTAAAAATAACAAAAATAATTAAACTGAATTAAAGAGTATTGAATAATTCAGCTTAATTATCTCCTATAGAAAAATATATATTATCAAAATTATTAATAATCTAATTAGTTGTTTTAAAAATATTATCATTAATAACAATCTCATTCTTTAAATTAAGTATTAGATTATTCTCTATATTATTTAATATATATTATATATAATCATCTTTTTCTTTAACTATATATAATAATCTTATATTTATATAAATAAATATTAAATTATTTATTAATTTAATTATAAGATAATTTCGAAGTTTAATTTGAATAAAATAATAATATTATAGATAAAATATAAATGAGAGTTAGAATTAGAAATATAAAAGAAATTTTAAGTATATTAAGCGAAATAATTAATTCTAATTAATTAAGTTGATTGTTTAATTCTTTTAATTATTAAGATATATAAAACCTTTTATTTCATTTCTTTATAATAACATTTTTTTAATACTTATCTCAAAATGATTCAGGATTAGCTCTACTTTTATTTATCCTATTAATTTAATTAATCAACTGATTACATGAATAATCTTGACGTAATATTTCATAAGCCTTAAAACACCGTTATATTACGGAATTATATAATCATCACTCATATTATATAATCTGCCCATCCCTAATGTCAAGCTCAAAGTCTTTGTTGGATTCGTAGAAGATCTCTAGAACGATTGGCGAAGATTTCTATAAAGTCGTCGTACAAGATATTTTTAGTCCTTCCGATGGGGGTAATTTAGATGCCGATTAAGGTTTCAGGGGCAGCGAATCATGAAGATTGATAGGGTAACCCAGAGGATGGTCGACACGAGATGTGGCTTGAGGAATGGGATGGATGAAAAAGAAAGTGTTTATCAAAATGTGAGGGTTTGAAAATTGGTCGATGGAGGGGGGTTCATTGGCCTCGAGAGAAGCATCATCGTTGGTTCACCTATTGTAAATGGATATGAGTGGTGTCGGTACCTATTCTTGTAGTGGTAGTAGTAGTAGTAGTAGTTGTTGTTGTTGTTGTTGTTGTTGTTGTTGTTGTTAGATGTTCTTAGGTAGATGGAATGATATTCTCCTATTCTCCTATCCTATCGCCCTCCACATTATACATATGTATGATATGATAAGAATTACATTCATTTCCGTCCTCTCTTGAATCTCTTCCCATCTCTCTTTTCAAGCTTCTCATACATACCTACACTCAATGATAAACTAATAACCATTTCATAATTTACATATTCATATTCATACTCATATCATTCATTCCCTCCCTGCCTCCCTCACTTCTGCTCTCATCTCATGATAGGAGACTTGTACCATCCAACCGACCCAATCATTCAATTAAGGATTAATTAATCAATTAGTTAACTTAATCAAATCGATT